TCCTTTTTAACAGCCTGATATTCTGTAAATGGTGCCTGGGTGGCTGAAGGACAATTGGATAATGATCTGCACTTTTTCTGCGTTAATAATAGTAATCTGCTTTTACATCACTATGTAAATGACAGATGTACCAAGAAGGAAAGCCATTGTCTCAGCTGGAAAGAAGTGGGCTAGGAAAAACTAGAAAAGGCTGGATTTTGGGAAATGCATCATGACAGTAACATCTGTTGGAATGCAGAGTAACCTCCCCTGGAAAGTGGTGGGATTAGCATTGCTCCTGACATTTGCAGCTCGATGGGGCAGAACCTGGTTTGATCTATGGCACACTTGGCTTCCAGGAGGCCCTTGGTATGATCCACTAGATTTTTTCCATCTCTGACTCCTGTGACTGTCTGTCTGACTCTCCCTGGGTGATGAAATATCATTATAACCTTTTGAAATAATATATCGGCGCCTGGAGAGCAGAGACTGATTTTCTCATTTGCAAGTGAGAGGCAGTGTGTTAAATTACCACTCCTGTCATTAAATGGATTGAGGAAAAAAAATCTAATGGGCTTGAACCAGGACATATTTCCCCTCCCCAAACAAGCCACCTCAGATTTCCCCTTGTTGGGGGCCAGGAAGGTGAGGATTAGAAGTTTAAATAAAATTCATCATATTCTCTGAGGCTTAGGTTACTTGCTTGACACCTGAAAACGTTTCAGCAAGTCTGGCATGGAAGCTTTCTGCTGACTTACAGAGGATGGGGAGCCTGTGCTGTCTGTCAGAGATGAAGAGGCATAAAATTTATCTTTCTGGGCCATGGAAGCTTCTACTTGTTCATTTGGCTCTGGGAAGTTTGATCCTGAACAACCTGGTCTGTGTGGAAGGTGTCTGTGCCCATGCAGGGGGTGGAACTGGATGGGCTCTACAGTCCCTTCCTTCCCAAACCATCCTGTGATTCTGTGAAATGTGAAAAAATCACTGTGCTGATAAACACAAGTAATTGTGTAAGTAATTGTGCTCAAGAATTGCACTTCTGCATCTTTGGAGCAGCAATGAGAAAGTTGTAATGTTGTTCCAGCTGATTTTTTAAAATCACATCAAGCAGCTGATGCAGTTCTTCATATTTCTGTCTTTCATGCAGGGCAAAGTATTGATAATCATCTGGTACTGCTGAGCATTGTAGCTGGCAACATTTGAAACTCCAGACATGGTGATGAATTGCTCTATGATATATTAATGTTATTTTGATCCCTGCTCTTTCAGAATTACATTGATCCAATTAGGTTAAGTAGCTTGCCATCTAAATTAATTTACTTTCCACTATTAATCTCCTTTACCCTGAGTCAAAACCAGAAATGTAAATCAATCCATTGTATTGCATATCTTTGGGGGGGTGGGAGGGTAATTAAATTACCTGATAGATACATATGCTGGATTGATTGTTTGCTATGTTGAACATTATTGCCATAATTGGAAAGTGAAGTGGTGCACACTCAGTAGTGGAATTTGAGTGCTTGTTACACTTAATTTTCATAACCTGTCAAGAAATGCCTTGCTGTCCTTGGGTACCAACCCCACACACCCAGCTACACAGCTTTTAGGATATTGGACATTTTGCAAGTGAAGATAAAAGCTCCTTCCTCTGCCAGGAGCTGCTGGACTCCCTGGCAGCATCTCACAGGTCCTGACCCTGTGCAGGGTGGGGAAAACCTTTCCCTGGCTCATCCTCAGGCTGGCAGCAGAGCAGATGTCTCAGCACTGATGTCTCAGTTCCCAAACCGAAGGAGGGGCAGTGCAGAGCCCTGAAAAGCCGTCTTCTTCTCCCAGTGGCACGTGAAATTTCCATGGTTTGATTTCATGGAATCACAGAATGGTTTGGGTTGGGAGGGACCTTAAAATCCACCCAGTGCCATGGCAGGGACACCTTCCCCTGTCCCAGGTGCTCCCAGCCCCAGTGTCCAGCCTGGCCTTGGGCACTGCCAGGGATCCAGGGGCAGCCACAACTCTGTGTCCCACACTGGGACATTCTTTTGCTTTCCTTAGGTCAGTCCAACAGTGGGATTCCATCATCTTGGTGCTCTCACCAGCCTTTTACAGGGAATTCACACTGGGAATTCTTCCTTTCAGCCAGTATTTTCAGGATCTATATCAAACTTTGATCCTGACAGCGACGTTGCTGACACCAGGAATTAGTTTACCTGCTACGTTTCCTCACTTTAGTGGGAAGAACTTTCCATGGAAGACTCAAACAAAAATAAAGATCTGATGTGAGGGAATGAGATCCCATCCAGTGGCTGGAAACTGAATGTTGGCATAGTTAAAACAGATACAAAGTGCAGTGGTTTTAGGTTGGGCTTAGTTAAAATCCTGCCAGGTTTGTGATAGCTCCATCTTCATGGGAGATCGAGGCAAGGGCTCTTTACAGTGGGAAAATGGATCTGGTTCCTTCCCTGTCATTGTAGCAGAAGATAAATTCGGGTTAGGTGACCCCTGTAATGGGGCAGGGCAGGCTGGTGATCACAAATCCCTTTTGGTATTCAAACCTATGGATCTATGAAGTATTTTCTAAATCTGTGCCTCAGAGCAGAATGAGCAGCAGCAGAAAGGTCACCTTTATCATCATTGCTGTCAAACACCTTGGAAACAGCAGAGCACAAAGCAAGTCAGTTGCTCAATCACTTTGCCCTTCTGCTACATCTGTTACCTTTACCTGTACTTTTGTCCCATTAAATGAAACTCACTCCCCTGTCCTGGATGAAACCCCATTTCCAAAAACTGCACAGTGAAACTCTGTTGGCTTCAGCAACGGGATCTTGCCTTTGCAAAGGCAATTAATGCCTGCCAAGTGCAGAAGTTAGCAGTGTTAGATAAATAATGATAATTATGAAAGCAGCTGCTCTTTGTGATGATGAGACAGTTGGAAACAGAGAGGGACTTTTTGCAAGAGAGTGTAGTGACAGGACAAGGGGAGTGGCTCCAAACTGACACTGGTTGGGTTTAGATGGGATTTTGGGAAGGAATTGTTCCCTGGCAGGGTGGGCAGGCCCTGGCACAGGGTGCCCAGAGAAGCTGTGGCTGCCCCTGGATCTCTGGCAGTGCCCAAGGGATGTTGGATGGAGCTCTGAGCCCCCTGGGACAGGGGAAGGTGTCCCTGCCCTTGGCAGGGGAGGAACTGGAAGGTCTCAAAGGTCTCTTCCAAGCCAAACCATTCCATGACTTGGGTACAGCCCCCTCTGCTCCTGGCAGGGTTTGTGGAGGCTGCAGGCACCAGAGGTGAGATCCCCACTGCAGCCAAGTGTCCCTGTGGAGCTGGTTGGTGTAAACTTATTATTGTGTATCTAAACCAACACCAGATGTTTGGTTGGGCACCCAAATCCTGCTGTGGGTGCGGTGGCTGCCTGAGATCCAGTTCCTACAAACCCACCAAATGCTGTAGTGTTTTAACATTCCATATCTATTAATATGTTAATATTTCCCACAAGCTGAAAAATTTTAAAGTTAAATGTGAGAATCTCTGCTTGAATGCTCACTATTATGTGTTGGGGCTTCATTTTTTTGCCTTTCCACTTCCTTATTTTCTTTTTTTCCTTTTCTTTCTTGTTTTTTGTCTTCTTTCTTTCTTCTTTATTTATTTTTAAGAGGCTTTTAAAGCTGGGTTTTCTCCCTAATAAGTGTTTGTAGAGTTCCTAGCACCACCAGATCCTGATGGAGCCACTAGATATTAATGTGCTGCAAATTAATCAGTAATGAAAATTAAATGTGTGTTTATGCTCCAGTTATAATGTTTATACAAACACAAGAAATGTGTACCACGACTGTGTGGTGGTTCCCACTACAATACTTGCAAGGATGCAGCATTAACCAGCTTTAAATAAAAGAAAGGGCCTGGTTTGTTCAAATGAACAACCCAAGGGGGAAACACCTCTTAGAGGTGAAGAAATGAACAGAATTCTTAGAGGAACAGAATGAACATTGTGAAACACAGAGCCAGGGATTTTCAATATTCTACACTCTCCAGTTTTCTGAAGGTGATGGTGGCATTTACCTCTTGTCTCCTTCTGTATTGTGCTTTTGCAGCTCACCAGAAATTTTGTCAGAACTCAAGGATGTTTGTGATGAGAAGCACAACTCAAGACCTGCCTTAGGAGTAAATGTGAATGAGTGTTCCTCCTCCTGCCTGTGTCAGAAATGCTCTTTAGATAAGGAGTTGAAAACAGATCAGTAGCAAGACTTCTTTCTTTAAAAAAAAAAAAAAAAGGCAGATGCCTGAGATGAGTTTCCTACAAAAAGAGAAGTTTCTGTGGTTGTCATGCACATGCCCCTCCCTGGAGATTCCTGGAAAATGACAATTGCAAGTCCAAATTTTTTATCTCTTTGCCAAAGGCAGGAGGGGAAGTGTGGAGGGAATGGGAACAAAGTGCCTCGTCCCAGACATGATCTTGCAGAGTCTCCTGTGAAATCGTTAAATTTCCATTGGTGAGTTTCCTTTCAGATGATCAGGGTAAATCCAGTGCTGTAAATTCTGTGATGTTCATGCAGTGTTTTCCCTGGAGTGTCAAGAGGAGGAGTTTGCTTCACTCACCAAGTGCTAAATGAGTCTTTGGGTGGTCACTTGCTGATGAATACAACAGATTAGATGGAAAAATAAGGAACACAGGGAAAACATTTTCCTTTTCAACAAACCACCATTACTTAACAATACTCTAAACCCCAGATCTCCCTAGATTTAACCTAAAATGTGTTGAAAATTACGTGGAAGATTCAACACTGAAATGTGCTGGCACAGAGTCCTTGTTTGGAAGAGAAAACAGTCTGGAAACTTGTAGTCTATTCACAATTACCACAGGAAGTGTTCGTGTCCTGCAGCCTCAATATTTGGAGTTCCATTTTCCCTTATTCCCCGTAGCCATTGAATCCTTAATGCCTGGCTTTGATCCTTATCTCAAACAGAACCACTGAAGGATAAATTCAAGGTGAGGTGGCCTCAACATTCCCTGTGCTGTGTTTTTTTCCAGGGGCCTGCTGGCCAGAGGCTTCACAGAGACCCATTATCTGCAGGATGGCACTGACGTGGTTCTCGCACGCAATCACACGGTAAGGCTGGGCTGTCCTGGGGAGAGAGGATGCTTCATCCTTAAAATCCAAAATATTCTCCGCCAGGATCTGAGCCCTGGGATGAAACAGCTCAACGTGTGGTTCTTCTTTTTTTTACTGTTGCCTTCAGTGTCTTTGTGACTGCTCTGATCCTACACATGAATTTTTAGAGGCAGCCTTTAAAGGCAAGCTCTGGGGTTTGAACCATGTGGCTTTTAACATTTGTGGGGGTTTTTTTCAGCTTCTTGAAAATAGACCCATTAAAATGTGATAATTATGGCAGCCGTGGCTGAAAAGCCCTGGTTCTGTGTGGGGGAAAAAAACCCCTAAATATCTGATTTCCAGAGTGCAAAAGTTCATGTCAGAGGTTGGAAGGCTTGGTTGTCTTTGCTCACTGGGGAAGTCATGGGTGGGGTTTGGGGGAGGGTGTTGGTTGGGTTTATTTTTAAATCCAGGCCACAAGTGTTGTGTGTTGTGGATGTACTTTATACTTGTATTTGTGTGTATGTATCTGTGTATTTATGTACATGTATAAATATGGATCTATACAAAATACGTCTTGTTAAAAGAAGCAGTTAAAATCTGCTTTTTACAAACAAAACCCCCTTAAGGCAGGAATGTTTTTTGTCCTCTGACAGCATGAACGCCTTAATTAGAAATAATGCAGCAAGGCATTTTAATTACAAACCTTATCTTTTATCTGCCTAAGTCCCATCAAGTATTTGCTCTGTTGTGGTATTTACTCACTGACACTGCCAGCAGAGACACCATGCTTTGTGTTCCCATCCAGAACGGGCTTTGCTGGGATCAGGGGAAGGAATTATTTCTCTGCATAACATCTTACTTCTGAAGAAGCATCTTCATTATAGCTGCAGACACCCCAAGTAAAGCAATCATTTGGAAAGCTTTCAGGGCTTTCATTTTGCTGGGTGCTCATATCTCCTTTGAAATCAGCTCAGGAGAAAATAGTCATTTGTTTTGGGAGCAGGAAGGCTGCAGAGACTCCTGAAGGAAGTGAAAGGAAATAAATGAAACACATGAGTCTTTCAGAGACTTACCTGAGTTAACAGGAGTATGTGTACAGCTAATGACAGGTTTTCCTTGCTAAAATACAATATCTATTTGCAAAATGGCAAAGTAAGTCATGATCAGTAATGACAGTGCATTTTGCTGCCTAAAAAAGAGAGCTCAGTGCATTCATTTTTCATTAAATGCTGCAATACGGTTGAGAAAAGACAAGTCTCTGATTTTATTTTTATATCTCTTCTTCAGTGAGGACATCAATACAGTCTGGAGTTGAAACCAAATCCGATTTTCCACTGAAAAGTTGCTTAGTCAAATTCTGCTTGGAGGTCAAGGCAGGTTTGTGGAGCTGTCACTTGGGCAGTTCTCTAGCACACAAGTCAGTGGCTAGGTTATTTTTCAATTTATAGCACCTGGAAAATTGTCAAAATCTGCTATTTATTAAATTATCTCAAGCAAGGGTAGAGTACTGTTTTAAGTATGATGGATCAGCCTTGGTAATTATTTGTTTTTAAGGGGTCACCCATTTTATAAACCAGTTTGCAGGAATAAAAAGATTTGATAGCAGAAAAAAAAATCCTGCAATTCATTGGAATTACTGAGCTAGAAATCAATTTTCTCCCAGTCCTGTTGCAGGCCATGCTCTGCTAAGTTTACATTTTCGATATTGAACTTTGGCATCACATAGCTGGATCTCAGAGAAATTGTGAAATGGGCCACAACCAGGACTCAGAGTTAATAAAATGACAAGTTGTATGTGGAGAGGGAAAGGAATCAGGCCCTTTGCCATAATTCACTCTTAGATAAAGACAGCTGGACCACAGCAGCAGCTGCATGGGTGAGATATTGGCTCCCCTCCCCATTTCACTCTGCTCAGCTCTGGTGATGCTCAAACCTAAAGATTTCTTTCTCAGGAGCTCTGAACTTCCCCTCTGCCTCATGCGTGCTTTAAGCAATGAAAATAAAGCTATTTTATTTTTGCTTTTAGCATATAAGAGATTGAGTGCTTGAGTGGGAGGGGCATTGATTTTTCTTCTATCAGCTGGATGCATGGAACTGATAACACTGAAATAAAGTGAAATAGTGCACCCACACCGAAAGTTTGACATCCACAGCAATTGTGACTGAAGTGACCACTCCAAAAAATTCAATCTGTGCCTCCCTTCTATTGTGGCTTTATCTTTGCTAATGTGTTACTGACTCTTTGTGAGGATTGATGATAAAAATACCCAAGAGTAAAACACTCTCACCCCGTTTCTGTCATTTCTTCCACTGACAAAAGCCACTGAGATTTGTATTTAGAAAGTCAGAGCTGGCTGCTCTGTGTTCACTTGCTCGTGCTGGAAATCAAACAAACATTTTCCCTGGCATAAACTTATTTACAGAAAATTCCTGTCTGAATCACTGCATCTTGCCCAGACTGTGGCTTTCTTCACCAAAATCAAGGTGCTTTTTAGAAATCTGCTGTGAGTGAAAACCGTACCCCAGCCTGGAAAGGTTAATTAATGCAATAATGAACCAAGCCCTGAGAGGCACAGGGAGATGACTGTTGGGCTGCAGCACTGATAACTTCCCTCTGCACTAATCAGATGGGAACCTTGCACAGCAGAGTTTTCAGTTTCCAGGTGGTATTGGGAATGCAATATAACCTTTAGTCAATAAAATTAGCCTTGATTCCAGACAGATATGTGGATGAGCTTAGAAACTCTCTGTTGTGGGTGCCTTTTGCAAGCAGGGGATTATTAAAGAAATATAATAACCTAGGCACAAAATGAAATTGGACTGTTGTCTCTCAAAATAGAAGCCCCCCTTTATTCTTGGTTGTTTTTAATAACGTGCAGCTATTAAAAGATGAGATTGTTGGGTATTTCAATAAAAAATTTCCTTTCCAACCTCTTTCCCTTCCCCTTCATTTGCTTTGTGATTTTTATTTCAAGTTCTGGGCTTGGGATTAGCTTTGTTATACTCCTCTTTTCACATACCTACCTCCTATAGGGATACGCAGATTTAAGTGTCCTTAAATAAAAATAGGGGTCTATATAGAAAACAGTAAAATGCAGCAGCTGATTTGTTAATCTGATATTTTATAATTACAAAATATTTAAACAATATAAATAATATAAAAATATTAAAATAATATAAAACATTATTAAATATTCAATACTGTAGCTTTAAATACTTAACACAGAAAAAGGGGGTCAGTCAACAAATCTAACATTATTAATCCTTCACAAAATAAGAACACAAAACCAAACAAAAAACCTCCTATAACTTTCTGGGATTTAGGAGCACCCAAGGTTTCCATTTAGGACTGTTTGAACACAGTTTGCATTGTCCCACCGAATATTCTCTGTTTGAGGACAGAGAATATTGGTGGGACAGGAAAGGTGCTGTCAGTGAGACTCTGAATGCTGTGGCCTGAAACCGATCATCACCTTGAAATGAAAGGGCTGGAAAGCCAGGAGCAGAGAGCATCTGTGAGCAGTGAAATGTTTTCTGTTCCTGCACAGGGTCACTGCTTTTACCACGGCCAGGTCCAGGGGTTCCCCGGCTCCTCTGTCAGCCTCAGCGCCTGCTCGGGACTCAGGTGAGCCCAGACCTCTGCAGTGATTGAGCTGCTGAGTGCTTGCTTTGGCTTTTAATGCATGGATCAGTACTGGGGAAGGGGCTGGAGCCCCAGGAGGGGCTGAGGGAGCTGGGAAGGGGCTCAGCCTGGAGAAAAGGGGGATCAGGGGGAACCTTGTGGCTCTGCTCCCAGGGAACAGGGACAGGAGCAGAGGGAACGGCCTCAGGCTGGGCCAGGGCAGGCTCAGGGTGGATATTTGGGAACAGTTTCCTCATGGAAAGGTTTGTTCAGCCCTGGCACAGCTGCCCAGGGCAGTGCTACCGTCCCCATCCCTGGAGGGATTTGAAATCCATGTGGATGTGGCACTTGGGGACACGGGGCAGTGGTGGCCTTGGCATTGCTGGGAATGGTTGGACTCTGTCATCTTAGAGGCCTTCTCCAACAAAAATAATTCCATGATTCCATCTCTTTTTCAAATGTTGGATGAATCCCTACATATCATTTTCCCTCTGGTTGCTCTAAAGAGAAAAAAAACAAAGAATAAACAACACATTTTTGGGGGTTTTTCCAAGAGCCATCCCTTCTCTCCTGCTGCCCATCCTTCTCTGTGCCTTGGCACATTTTCATACTGGCAGTGCCCAGTGGCTTTCCAGGCCTCTTTGTCCTCAGAACTGTTTCACCAGTGCTGTCAGCACTGCTCTGCCAGCTGTGGAATCACTCATTGTCCAGCAGCCTCATCACTAGGAGAGGCGGCTTTAGAAATCAAAGATTCTATGATACAGAGAACGTGCAAGGTTGTGGAGCTCAGTAATTGTGTTTATGGCAGGTAGGATGCTCAGCTTTTGGATTTCAGCTGCTCATTAACAGCAGATTCCTGTTGCTGAAAGTCAAACCTCTTCCAGCTGGACAAAGGAATGGGCTGACAAAATTTCACGTACACAACAGACACAGTTCAGGAAACAATTATCTTTCTTACTTGGACAATCAGAGACTGGTATTTACTCACAGAGCTGTTCCAAATCACAGCAATTAACTGTAAATTTGCTCTAGGTTCTCCCTGGAAAACCCAGTTTTCCTGTCAGATTTCCAGCTGTCTCAGCCTTTTCTGGGTTTAATTTATCTGCAAACTGCAGGAGTAGCTGGAATATTTTCCCCTTGATTTTGCATTTTGGGCAATAGTGACATTGTCAAGGCTTTTGTAAGGGAGCTTTGGGACAGACAGAAGCAGAGAGAGCAGAGTTTGATCCTTCTCCCTCTGGGAATGGTCCATTTGCTGTAGTGGATGGGATTCCTTTGGCTCATTCCCACACAGAGAGCGGCTTTATGGGTGCTTCACTATGGATCCAGCAACTTCCAAAAGTTTAATAAACCCCTTACATGAACAGTCAGCATTTATCTGTCATTCTCACTGTAAAACATCTCCAGAATTTAAAACTGTTTGTAAAAATCCAGTGCAGAGCTCTCAGTATTTCAGTTAAAGGATCACAATGCTGCAAGCTCCCCAGGGAAAATTTGTACCTTGTGGGACAGGGTCTGCATTGATGTCCTTGTTCCAGAAATACCTGGAAATTACTCACTCTCAAGAGAAAATGCCCTTCTCCGCATTAGAACTCTTTTCTTCCTTCTCCAAAGTGCTCTCTTTGCAATTGTGGCGCTCCAGAGTCGTTTCCCAGCTTTAGGTGGTTCAGACGTGTCAAGACAGCAGATGCTGGCAGGGACATTTTCCTGGCACTGGTGCAGACAAGTCCCCAAAGTGCAAGCTGACAGGACTGGGCTCCTTCTCTGCAGGGAAGCAGAGCAGCACCTTTTTCAGTACAAAACTGCAGAAATTTCCTTTGCAGTGCATGTTTTGTTCTAGTAGGAGATCAGATGAGGAGAAATCTCAGTTTCTGTGCCCATTTCACTGCTGAGATTGGCAGAGTGTCCATGGCTGGGACCAGTTTGTGATAAGAGTTCTGTGCCTGTTGATTCACTCCACCCAACCTGTTTCACAGCCCAACAACCAACAACTCCCAGACAGAATAACGCGCAGATATTGCCTGTGCTTGGTCACAGAAACACAGAATGATTTGGGCTGAAGGGACCTGAAAGCTCATCCAGTTCCACTATTGCCATGGGCAGGGACACCTTCCCCTAGACCAGGCTGCTGCAAAAAAAGCACAATCCAGAAAAGCTTCTTGGCTTACTTTGCTGGCAGCTTTGCTGGCTTGAAAAAATAGATCAGGATGGGATGGGATAAGATAGGACAGGATAAGATAGGACAGGATAAGATAAGACAGGATAAGACAGAACAATGTACCACTGCCCAACTTGCTGGAGCAGGGACTCTTGTTTTCCACAGCATGATAAAAACTCCAAGCTGCAGGAGCAGAGACATAAGGCTCTGTGTGGCCATGGAGCCCCAGGTGGGGACAGTCCCTGGGGCAGCCCTTTCACTTGCAGCAGCTGTTGGAAAGGAGGCCAGGTCTCGTTTTCAGGGTCTGTTCCTGGCTTTGTGACAGTTTCTAAGTGAATCAGACAAATCTCTCTGTCTCAGTTTCTCCATCTGTGAAATCCATTTAATGATTCTTACCTACCTCACACAGCTGCTGCGTGGAGCTGGGGTTCAAGTGCCTGAAAAACATCTAATGAAAGGAAGTGCATGCTGTCAGCCCTCTGAAATCCTGGAGAACCAATATCTTCCCCCTCCCACCAGACAGGCACCCTGGGCATTGTTCCAGGTGTGGATAGGGCGGGGCTGTGCATTTTCCCCCAGACCAGCAGAGTTCATTGAAAGACATGAAACTACTCATAAAGAACAGGTCCCACATTTCAGTGTGCTCTGAAGCCTGAGTGCTCAGCAGCAGTCAAAGAAGCAAAAGGGATCATAGGAATTTCTGAGACAGAAATAGAGGATAAAACAAGAACCCTCATTACCACTTTATAAATCCACAGAGCGCTCACATCTTGAGTTCTGCATGCAGTTCTTGTTTCCCCCTCCCCTGCTCCATCTCAGAAGAGGAAGAAGCAATATATCCAGAGAAGGTACAGAGAAGGGCAAAAATTGTGATCAAAGGTGTGGAGCAGCTTTTATCCAAGGAGAGAAAATAGACTAGGATTTGTCACTTCTGAAAGGCGATGACGGAGAAAAGGAGCATGATGAAACAAGGTTGAGTGTCATGCTGGAGAGGGGACAATCACTGAATATTCTTCATAACCTCTAAATTAGGAGACATCAGCTGAAACTTGAGAGCAAAGGAAAGTACTTTTTTTATTCACATAACGAAGCTGGAGCTGTCACAGGTGGGTGTCAGTGGATCACTGACAGTATCAATGGATTCCAAAAGGATGTGACAATTTGGGAAGGGGAGCTCAGGGAGCCTCTGCAGGGCTGTCAGACCCTGAGGTGTCCCTGGCACTGCTGCTCTCAGAGCTGGGGCTGCTTGTTCTGTTCTTGTCTCTCATCCCTGAGCTCCTGCTGTTGGCCAAGCCAGAGAGGAGCTGCTGAGCTGGAGGAACCTTGCTCTGACCTCCCCCAACCATCAAGGTCGTCTCTCCACGTGGCTGAGCAGTTTTCCTTTTTCTCTGAGAAGCCTCAGAGAAAAAGGAAAACAATAATTATCTCATTTGCTTCTCCTGTGTTTTGCTGCTTTGGAATGTGTTTGGACACTGTTTACCCACAGGTGATTGTTTCATTGGCTTCATGTGAATTGTTTTGGCTTAATGACCAATCAGTGTCAAGCTGTTTCAGGAGAGAGTCACAAGTTTTTCATCAGTATCTTTAGCCTTCCGTCTGTATCCTTTCTGTATTCTTTAGTATAGTTTAATGTAGTTTAGTATAGCATTCTTTAATATAATATAGATCATAAAATAATAAATTAGCCTTCTGAGAACATGGAGTCAGATTACTTCATTTCCTTCCAACGGCAGGGACCCAGAAAATACCACAGATGTGTTTTCAGCTCCTGAACATGATGTGATTGTTCTGTGATGAGGAAGAATTGTGTGAAATCTGAATACTAAGGTTAGTCTGGTTTAAGCTTTTTAGGCAGGCAGAGGGGTGAGAGATGAGGAGGAGAGAGGAGGAGGCTCAGCTCTCTCAAACACACATTTTTCAGCTCTGTTCCATCCTCACACACATAACATTTGAGCTCCTCACCTCACGTAGGAGCACAATAGTGGGATTGGCACTGAGAGCTGCCTAAAATGCAGGTTAGAGGAGAATATAATCATGCCTTAATCTGTATCCTGCTGGCTGCTCTGAGAAGGAGGAGCTGGATGGCGGAGAGGGCTCAGGAAATGCTGAGTGCACAGAAAGGGAACAATGGCTAATCAGGATTTCTGGGTGTCCGTCTGGATCAGAAAGCCAATTAGACTGTCAGAGCTTGTGGGAAGGTGAAGGTACGACAGAGTTGAGCCATTTCCTTCCTGTCCTCAGGAAATACCCTTCTGTTTATCCAGCTTGGAGGCTCTTCAAGTTTTTAGCAAATAATTTTGGCCTGTGGCCACCGCTCACATCTTCTGTGATAAATTTGTTTAGACTTGAATGATTTTTCCTGATTGCTTTCCCTGTGACTGCTGAATGCACCCAGAACTGCAGCCTGGAGAAGGGCACAAACCTCCCTACAGAAGCATCTGCAGTGGCCTCTTAGTTGTGGGGAGCTTGAGAGGTGCTCCCAAAAATTCCTCAGGAGCCTAAGGATAGAAATCTCCCAGGAAGCCTTTTCCTTCTGAAACCCCAAAATGCACTTGAGTATCCTCAGATATTTTACCCAGTTGTTGGGTAATTAACCCAGTCACACATACAGAAGGTGTTCAGTCTTGGTCCAGCCTCATCAGCAGCTGAAAGATGCAGTGTCCACGTGACAGGGATGGGGGGAAGGCCCCAGAATGGAGTTGATGCTCATTTTTACTGGGATTACAGAGTTATGGTACCCAAGGCTGCCAATACCATTTTTCAAATGGTCTGGCTGAACTCACTGCAGCCCAGACACAGTCAGCTGAAGAGGGGATTTAAATGTGACACTCCAGACATCAACTAT